GTCTCTTTCTTGCAATCCCACCAGACAATGGGTTAGGGTTTTTGTTATTATGTTTCATTTAGCCTCACAAAAGAAAACTGCTTCTAAGGGAAAAGTAGGCTGATGTCACTTGATGGAAAGATGTGTGTGTCACATAGACTCACATGGAAAGATGGGTTGTATGAGAAGTGTGAGAACATACCAAAAGCAGAATCTGACCCCTCTCCTCACTACATGATCTGGGAAAGATTAAACCAAACTTCTAAACCCATTAATAGAAGAGGATTAAGAATATGCTGGTTGATTAAAGCATTTATAGAAAATATCTTTAAAGATTTTTTTACAACATTTTTTTTATATTTATTATTTTTTTATTTTATGTGTATATTGCCTGCATGTATGTGAGTGCACCGTGTCGTGCAATGCCGCGGAGGTCAGAAGAGGGCTTCGGATTCCTCTGGAACTGGATTGAAGGATGGTTTGTAGCTGCCATGTGGGTGCTGGGAATCGAACCCGGGTCCTCTGCAAGAATAGGCAGTGCTCTTAACTGCTGAGCCATCTCTCCAGCCCAAATTTTAAAATTTTAAAATTTGTGTGTATGTATGTATGCCTGTGTGAGTGTATATGTGTAGGTACCTGTGGAGGCCAGGAGAGTGTGTTGGATCTCCTGGGACTAGAGTTACAGGTGGTTTTAAGTTGCCCTGTGTGGGTGCTAGGAATTAAACTCAGATCTTCTGGAAGGACAGGAAGTGTTCTTAACTCCTGATCCATCTCTCCAGTCCCCTCAAAATGCTTTTTACTATTACTATGTTGAAAATGGAAAAAATGAAATAATTTTGGATATAGATGAAAAGGATGCCTATTCATCCATGAGCAACATCCTGATTAAGGACCCCTTAGAGAATGGAAAGAATGTTCAGAAATGCTTTGTTCCAAAAGAAGCATGTGGTTTAAGTGTGGGCATCCCCAGGTGCTTATAAGCACATTGTGGGCCAACCATGGAGCCCAGGCTGAGTTGGTACCATGAACACTCAACACCTGCATCATACCCTCTAACAACAAGGGAGAATGACCCCTGTTCTCCTTTTTGTACTGATTAAGAGATGGTGATAGGATTCATCCCAATTAAATCCCAACCTACCATCTATAGCCAAGAACCAATCAACCCACCTCACCTACCCTCAACCATAGATGGGTACTTGTCCCCCACCCTGCCTGCAATTAAGGCATAGATTTGTCTTTCTAGTTCCTTTGCCTACATGGGAAAAAACGAACCAACAGAATTGGTGCATTCAAAAGGCTGTATCATCTCAGTGATGTGATTTCCCCTTTTATGTTTATGATAACAATAGCTAACTCTTCCTGAGCTCTCACTGCTGTACATTTGGCATCCGTTGTCACATAACCCATTGCAATAACAACCTGGCATAGACTTAGTTTTAATTCCATTTGCAGCCAGTTACATCTTAATTTAAAAGTCATTTGCTGCAGGCCCCTCAGGCAGTGGGTGGTGGTGAGAGGCTTGGAGCATGTGGGAAATACACATAAAATGTACTGTCTTTTCTAGTAAAAATTTCAATGAATCAAAGGAAGTTTCATCTTTAAAGTATTAAATAGAGGTTTCAGCATGAACTGCAATCTGCACCTCCTTTGTCTCAGGTTTGGGTTTGCTTTTCCTCCGGACACCTGCCTGTAGATTTATTCTTCCCAACAGAGACCTGTCAGCTCTAGCTGAGGGCTTGGCCTGATTCTTCGAGATGTGAGTTCCAGTCTTAAATGGACAGTACCATAATAACATAAAGAAATTTCTAAAGACACCATCCAGTAAAAATTCCTTTCCGAGTCAGCATTTGTCTAAGATCAAAGCACATGCTCACCATTGCACTCTGTGCTCAAAGTTACGTCCTGTTCTCCAAGTTGCCCTTTGTTTATCACCCGTGTTGCTTTTCAGTTAGCCAATCACAATAGTGATGTGAGACCAAGCTCTGACCACTCAATGTAAGAAACAGGACCTCTCTGCATTAGTAATAAAAATCCAGCGAGATTCTGTTAGGCATGCGTGCCTGTTTGATTTGCAACTTCACACCCTTCAGCAGAGGTAAAACTTTTTGCTTTGCTGAGGTGCTTTGTGTGGTCGTTTTCTGAGACCCTCAGATCCATTTCTAATAGAGCTGAGCCCCTCCCACCTCCCACTACAATGCCCTGTTCTCACAGTTCTCTGTCTAGAGGTGGCTTGATACTGTGGATCTGAATGGGCCATTTCATAAGCACTGACACTTGGGGCCCTTAATTGCTTCCCTGTGAGTACCCAGAGACTGCACAGCCATCTTTCAGCTCCCCAAACTTGAAGAGTTTATTTAGGAAGAGTACATTCCACATATAAGCCACTCTCATTCCCTGCTTTCATGACTCCATCATGTGCCTTCCAAATACATGAAGGTGTCTGACTTCCTACAAATGTATGTGAACTGCCTTTGAAATCTCTGACTCCTCAGATTAACTTGCTACTGCCTCTTTCAGATAAGAATAGGCCCTCTGGGGGCTGGAGAGATGGCTCAGAGGTAAAGAGCACTGCTCTGGCAGAGGACCCAGGTTTGAATCCCAGCACCCATATGGCAGCTAACGACCATCTGTAACTCCAGTTCCAGGGAAATAATACCCTCTTCTGACCTCCGTGGGCATTGCATGATACAGATGCACTTATATACATGCAGGCAATATAGTCATATATATATAATAAAAATAATAAAATATTTTAAAGAATAGGTCCTTTTATTATCATATTCGAATTTCAAATCTCATGTTCCTTATCAGCTTGCCAGCCATTGTCCTTTGGGGATCCACAAGTGACTACTTGTGATGGCTGAACTAGCTCTGATACAGCCAGGGAAACAGGACACATGAGACAAAAGTAAACGAGTGTGTTTCAGTTATACCAGAATCTTCCTAAACTAATGCCTGGTAACTGTCAATGCATTTTGGAAATAGGCTTATGGGAAAGCACCTTGAACATTTAGCACTTTTTTTTTTTTTACATTGGATCTATGCACTTTATAGGTACTTTCCCGAGGTGTTGGTTGGTTACCCACCTGTAGAGAGTTAGCCTCCTCTACTCCCAACCTGACGGTTTATTTTGCACAAACCCCTGCCTCATCTTTAGTATATAATCTACCCCCAGTCTTAGATCCCCTTCCAGCTTCTGGGGGCTTCTTACATTAATAGTTTGGGTAAGGTTTTGGTTGGTTTGTTTGCTTGTTTGTTTGTGACAGGATCTCAAGTAGCCCAGGCTGGCCTCAAACTCACTGTATACCTTGAATTCCTGAGTCTCCTGTCTCTGCTTCCCAAGAAGCAGAGTGTTGGGATTTCAGGTGTGTGCCACCATGCCTGGTGTGCACACAACCACGATGGCTCCATGAGAAGCATCCAGAATATGACACCTGCACTGCATCTGAGGCATATGCAGCCCAGGTGCAGACAAAGCCTGTAGTAGCCCCTAACATGCTAATTCCAAAAGAGCAAAGCTGGAGGGGGGAGGGTGACCACCCACATGCTGGAGGCAGCACAGGAGGCACTCAGCTTGTGGGCCTGGGAGCTTAGAGACCAGGGCTAGAATTCTGCCTCTGTGGTTTATTCACTGTATAGCCCTGGGAAAGCCTCAAATGTGCTGTGTGGTCATTGTTATGGAAGAAGGACCACAAGAGAAAGGGATACTGGGATGACACTGAAGGGAATCATCACTCCATCCCAAGTGAGATCCATGAAGAATTGAGCCTCATCCCACACAGTGTGATACCCACCTGCAGGTACCATCACCCACATCTACAGGCTCTTCATCCAGGTCTTCCCAATCACTCTCACTCCCTTGAGATTGTTCTGAAAACAAAGACTTCGGGAAAGCACCCCAAGAACAGAACTGTGGTAGCGGAATGGTCTCCGAATCTGCCTCCAAACATTGTCCACAGGGCAGCTGGCCTTTAGACGTGGCATTGAGGGTCAGATATTCTTCATCCTCCGAGGTGAAGGAAGGGGTTTCAGGTAGAGAGCATGTGTCACCCTCAGTGTCATCTTTGTCCAATCCAGGACTAGAAAACAGAAACCTGTGTATATTCCAGACTCCATCAGAGATTTCTGGCCCATCTTCCCCTTCCTTACCTCTCAGCAATCTCACTATGACACACCCCATGATACCCAGCCAGATTCAAACAGCTCCTGCCAGGAAATGCTCTGGGCACCAGGAGCAAACAGCAAATAAGGTACAGCCCCTGAACTGGGGAGAATCCTGGACTACTGAGAACAAAGAGCCCCAAAGAAACATTACAATCAAAAAAGTAAGTGAAGGCAGCTCAGAGTATTGGGTCTGGGAGTCTATAGCGCAGCTGCCAGACACCATAGCCCTACAAGCAGAGCTATGAGCTATGATCCAGTTCTAGGACTGATCTTTTCCATGGTAAGCAGAGTCACTGAGACCCCGCATGGGTTTATCACTTTTCTGGAATCTTAGTTTTCTTATCAAAAAACATAAAAGGTCAAGAAATTGATAGGATTATTAGGATGCTTAAGTTAAACAATCTTTACACATGATCTGCCTCCCGGGGCTCCTGGCACAGGCTAATGTGTTCAACCAGTGTGAGGTGCTACATTATGATTTCAATGGTTTCAACTATTTTAACAGACAGATTTGATAGAAAGAGCCAAAGGACACCAGGAACAGTGGCTCAAACAGGCGACCTTCAAAGTACTTTGTGCAAACATTAGGTTCTTTTCTAAGCACTAAAAAAAGGGGGCCTATTTAAAGAGGCAGCCAGCTGAAGTGACATTTACTCCCCATGTCAATGGAAGAACACAGGAGACAGAGGACCAGTGAGGCTCATTAGCTGGTGATGTCGCTACAGATGCAAGAGAAAGATTCAGCCTTCCTGAGGGTGGGGGCCAAGATAGCCACACATGCCTTGGATGAGAAAGAACAGTCCATGCAGACGGCAGGGTGTTTAAAACAACACAGAAGACATGCAGAGTGGCTCTCAGAAAATCTCTGTTGCAAGTCTGGTTAGAGAAGATGGGAAGGAAAATCTAAGAGAAAAGCACAGATTTAGTTTTTTACCAAATACATGTCAGCCTCCTTCTCCACACCCATATCATGCCCCCCATCCCACCTCTGCTTTCCCACAATGCCTCTCTCTTAAAAATCAGTTCTACAGGGGCTGGAGAGATGGCTCAGCAGTTAAGAACACTGGTTGTTCTTGCAGAAGACCCGGGTTCGAATCCCAGCACCCACATGGCAGCTAACAACTGTTCATAACTCCAGTCCTAGGGGATCCGACAGCCTCTTCTGTCTTCCGCGGGCATTGCACGACATGGGTGCTCTTACCTACACGCAGGCAATACATGCATACACATAAAATAAAAATAATAAAATAAAATAAATCAGTTCTACAATTCCCTAATAGCTACAAACCCTCTCAAATACTGACAAAGTGTGTGTGTCCCAGCCTGAATTTTGTCTTGAAGGGGCATTAATTTCTGCTCATGAGAACTACAGGGTGTGTGTAAAACTGCATTCTCATGAACACATGCACACTTGTATATAAAAAGAAATGATTTTACAGAGACTGAAGAGAACCATACTTTCAAACAAATAGAAATTGTCAAGCATTTGGAGGGAAAATTGGTTTACAAACCTAATGAACTTGGTCAAATTGTACAGAAACTGCATTTTCTTATAAACATGGGGAGGGAACACAAGAGGGTTTGTCCAAAAGCAGGAAAGGCCCTAAACTACAGGTGCAGGAGCCTCTGAGGATGCAGAGCCCGGCTGCCCATCTTCCTCAGAGCAGCTGCCTGGTTGTCAAAGCCACATCTTTGCCACCATACTACACACCTTCTAAAAACATCTCTGGCTTTTATGTAAGCCTTCAGCGACTGACCCTGCTGGGATGGAGACCCAGAAGCCATCAGTCTGAGAGACAAAAGGCAAGGTGAAAAGTCTGCCCGAAAAGGGGATTGGATGTTCCCAGGCTGAAAACCTGGATCTGACTCTGCTACAAGTCAAACGGCCTTTTCTTACACCCCTCCACATGCCACCAGGCTGCCCTTGCAAATCTGACCTTGAACTTGACTGTGGACTTGGGAAAAGGCATACAAGTACAGAAGAGGTACAAGAAAGTCCCCAAAGTAGAATTGATCTCAAGGAAAAGTAAGACTTAGAGCTTTGCAGACTTTTATAAAGATGGTAGAATTCAGAATTCAGGGACTGGAGAGATGGCTCAATGGTTAAGAGCACTGGCTGCTCTTGCAGAGGACCTGAGTTCAATTCCCAGCACCCACATGGTAGCTAACAACCATCTGTAGCTCCAGTTCCATGGGATCAAATGCCCTCTTCTGACCACCATGGGCATTGCATGGCATGGATGCACCTACCTACACGCAGGCAATATACTCATACACATAAAATAAAAGTAATAAATACAAATTTTTTTAAAGATGGTAGAATTCCCTTAAAGCAAAAGACAGGTGCTTCTTGAGGTGGCTGTGCCAAGGAAAAGGGCAGAGTCCTTCATCAGGGCTCAAGGATAATACAGAGCATCCAGGGCGAATGTAAGACTCCCACTGAGAGCCTGAAGGAAACAGGGTACTTAGAGCACTCTAGCTCAGCTGCAAGTACATTAATGGCCTTGGTTGCTGCTTGCCATTATCCCCTACCTTCCAACTGTCTAATACAAGGAACCTTTAACAGACATCTAGTATCTAGAGGAAAATTTGGAGATCCTATGTGGGCTCTTGGTGGGGAACCCTGCTGTTAAGGTCCGCTACTTTCTCAGCAGGGGCTTCCTGCCTGACTTACCTGGGAAGTGCCACCAAGCATAGATGCCTGACCTTATTCAGAACATGACCTTTGGCATAGTTACCTGCACTAAAACTGCCCCCAGGTTTTTTCTATGTGATAATTAGGCATTGCCCTATAGCCAGATGATAGGATCCCCCTACCACATGTAAATAAAGCATACTAGGAGCACCTATCAGCTGAAGGTTTGGCTGCTGCCTCCACGCTATATTTTCCCTGACCCCCATTGAATAAACGGAGCTGTATCACTGAATCTGCCTCCCTGGAAGGGCTTTCTTCTGTTGTGCTCACAGGCCGTCCTGACCCTGCTCGTCGCTTCTGCTCCCTTTGTCCTCGTGGACCAGTGGCCAATGACCCACGTGGGGAGAGAGGGACCTCACAGGCTCTCAGTTCATCCACAATCCCTATACAAGCCAGCAAAACCTCATCAAGTCCTTCAGTTGCGAGGGGTTGGAGAGGCAAGTTCTCCTGGAAGCCAGTAAGTGTGCAACCCTGCTCGTCGCTTCTGCTCCCTTTGTCCTCGTGGACCAGTGGCCAATGACCCACGTGGGGAGGGAGGGACCTCACAGTCTCTCAGTTCATCCACAATCCCTACACAAGCCAACAGAACCTCATCAAGTCCTTCAATTGTGAGGGGTTGGAGAGGCAAGTTCTCCTGGAAGCCAGTAAGTGTGCAAAGAGGCCTCTACTCTATGCTAGATGGCTGTTGTTCCCAACTTAACTTGTGTATCACACACTCTGCTCAGCCACACTTCTACCCAAGGGCAAGAAAGACAGTTCTATGCAGGGACAGCCTCATCTACTGGTAGCCGCTTACTTGTCACAGCTGGCATTAGTAGCTGCAATTGAGTTAGACCTTTAGCCTCCTAATGACCCTTTGTTATTCCAGGAGCCGTGTCTCCTGAGGAAGGCATATGGTCACTTTGAGTGCATTCAAGGATTTCTGCTTTATGTCATGAAGACTTACATTGTCTTTACAGAAAGATACTTGCTGAACTAATATGCATTTTATTCACATGAATTCAATTATCTACATGTGCAAGGGTAGAAAGGGAGGGAGGGAACCTTGATCATTCTGCCTTGACTTTTACAATAAGTAAAAGTCTTGAAATGCACAGGGGGAGGAGAGTAGTAGAATACTCTGCCAAATCAGTCTTGCTTTTGGGGGGAGTGGGGGAGCATTTCAAGATTCACATATTGTGTTCTGCATGACCTATAAATGCAACAACCAGATTTTGATTGCTCTGGACTCGAGCGAAGAGAAAGTGGTCTGCTCGTACACCAAAAGAACCAATGACGCTACACGTCCCATAGTCATCCACAAGGGTAGGGTGACCTGAGGTGCTCCTCCCCTTGTGCTCAAACTCTAGAAAGTGACCTGTATAAAGAGGCATCTCCAGGGACTGGAGAGATGGCTCAGCAGTTAATAGCACTGGCTGCTCTTGTAGAAGACTGGGGGTTTGAATCCCAGCACCCACATGGCAGCTAACAGCCATCCGTAACTCCAGTTCTAGAGGATTTGATGCCTTCTTCTGTCTTCTGTGGGCACTGTAGGACAGAAGGTACACTTACATACATAAGGACAACGCATTCATGCACATAGAATAAAAATAAATTTTTTGAAGGCATTTCCAGCCAAGTCCTCCCCTTCCATAGGTATGTAATTAACCTCCCTTCTGTGACAATGTACTATCGATGCCTTTTTTTTGTCTTTTTATTGAGACAGGGTCTCCCTGTAGCCCCAGCTGTCCTGGAACTCACTATGTGGACCAGGCTGGTCTTGAACTCACAGAGATCCCCCTGCCTCTGCCTCCCGAGTGCTGGGATTAAAGGTGTGTGCCACCATGCCCGGCTGTAGATGCTTTTTTAAGTTTAAATCTATTTATTTTTATTTTATTTGTAGGAGCGTTTACTTGCATGTCTGTATGTGCACCATGTGCACACTTGGTATTTGCAAGGGCCAGAAGAGGGCATCATATCCCCTGGAACTGGAGTTACAGGTGTTTTGAAGTACCCTGTGGTTGTGGGAAACTAAGTCCCCTGCAAGAGCAGTAAGTGCCCTTAACTGCTGAGCCCTGTCTCTAGTTCCCTGTAGATGCTTTATAAAGATCTACTTCATTTGACATCTCTGAATATAGAATACAGATGAAATTGAGGAAGGAAAAGTGAAATCTAATCTTCTCCGTGAACACTCTGGGTTTGCCAGGGTATTGGCAGCCATCTGGTCTTAAGAAGGAACCACCTGGCTGATAGTAAATTCTGGCAGTTTGCTGAGAATTTCAATCAATGGAACCTATTCTTTAGCAAGAAAGAGCCCAAGAAAGACTAAGAATACAGACTCATGCTGCATTCCGACTCTGTGTAGGCATTGTTACTTCTGACCTGCACAGTGATTTGTGGAGTCATGGTCTTCGATTACAACTGGGAAGCCTCCAACTGAGGGAAGTCAACTCTCCAGGCACACTGCTTAGTAAGTGGCAATGCTGAATATTAAGGCTATCTGCTCTAAAAGTTTGTGCCATTTGTTTTTAACTGCAGAGAGTGACTCAAAGAAGCCAGAATCAAAGGGGCAGTTTGGTTGGGACGGCCACCTCCGTCCTGAAGACACTTCTAAGGACTTCATAGAGAACTGAAATCCTACTTTGGAATGCTGATCAGGACCCTACCCACAAGCTGGAAGCCTTTCTATCAGTGGTTTCTGGGTATGTACTATAGTTTTTTTTGGTTTTGGGTTTGTTTGTTTGTTTTTTCCTGTGGAAGTGGTCACTATGTGTGCATTAAATGCTGGCTAACGTTCTGTGGAGGAGGAGCTGCCTTGCTTTGAGTCCTTCTTTCAGAAAGGAAAAGAGTTCCCAACTAGAAGACTTAAATTTGGCAAAAATAAAACCATGAAATGGGGAGAGGGAGACTGTTGTCATTTCCAGGACCATCAGTGCAAAAAGGTGTGTAGGCCACAGAGGGAGTGGTCCTAGGACCAGTAAGCTGATGCCTATGGCCACATGAACCACGGGGCTGGAAATGAAAATGAGCCAACAACTATAGCAACCCAGGATCAAAGACCTCACGCACACCTGTAGTCCCAGTACTTGGGAGGCAGAGGCAGGCGGATCTCTGTGAGTTCAAGGCCAGCCCGGTCTACATAGTGAGTTCCAGGACAGCTG